GCCCATGCGACCGCCACCAAACAAGGATCGGGTTAACAACGGGCTGCCTCCTCATCAACCTACGTCCCCCGGAAGGTAGCACCTCCCAATACCAGCCCGGCGGAGCCCAGTCCCGAACATGGCCCTACTCAAGCAGGCCTCCACCGCCGAGTCGACGATGACGAGGATGTGGGATAGGCATCGCCGACGTCGATGCGGCAACTACTTCTATATATAGTTAAATAAAAGTAGTTTTATTAATTAAATCAACTATCTAGTTCAACTACTAAGCACTTACTATAAATAAATAAGTACTCCCTCCATCCGAAAATACTTGTCATCAAAATGGACAAAAAGGGATGTATCTAGAATTAAAATACATCTATATACATCCCCTTTTATTCATTTTGATGACAAGTATTTGCGGACGGAGGGAGTACTACTTACTAAAAACAAACTACTTCTATATATAGTAAATAAATTAGTTTATTAAATCAACTAGCTAATTCAACTATATATAAACTACTTCTTATTTCTTTCCTTTTTCTAAATACTACACATCTAATCTAACAAAAAAAATCTAATCTAACAAAAAAATCTATGAACTACATATTAAAATTAGTACACATCTAATCTAACAAAAAAATCTAACATAATATAAACAAATTAATTACTACACATCAAATCTAACAAAAAAATCTAATCTAACAAAAAAACTATGAACTACATATCTAAATTACTACACACATCTAATCTAACAAAAAAAATCTAATTAATCTAACAAAAAAAATCTAACATAATATAAACAAATTAATTACTACACATCTAATCTAACAAAAAATCTATGAACTACATATCTAAATTACTACACACATCTAATCTAACAAAAAAAATCTAATTAATCTAACAAAAAAATCTAACATAATATAAACAAATTAATTACTACACATCTAATCTAACCAAAAAAAAATCTAATCGAACAACAAAATCTAACAACAAAACTACAACATAATATATCTAGATTACTACACACATCTAACCTAACAAGGAGTGGAGCGGGGCGGCGATGGCGACGGCGAAGGCGACGGCGACGGCGAGGTGCAGAGCGGGGCGGCGACGACGACGGCGAAGGCGACGGTGAGGTGCGGAGCAGGGCGGCGACGGTGTCGAGGCGGCGTGACGTCGATCGGGGCG